CTCCCCTCCCGCGAGCGGATCCGTGAGTGGTACGAGCGGCGCTGCACTCTTCGGAGTGGCGTGCCTCGTGTTACGAACCCCGCTGCTGTTGGAGCTGCTGCTGGTGCTGAGGACCCGGGCGTTGGAGCTGCTGCTGGTGCTGAGGACCCGGGCGTTGGAGCTGCTGCTGGTGCTGAGGACCCGGGCGTTGGAGCTGCTGCTGGTGCTGAGGACCCGGGCGTTGGAGCCGCTGCTGGTGCTGAGGACCCGGGCGTTGGAGCTGCTGCTGGTGCTGAGGACCCAGGCGTTGGAGCTACTGCTGGTGCTGAGGACCCGGGCGTTGGAGCTACCGCTGGTGCTGAGGACGTGGGCGCTGGAGCTGCTGCTGGTGCTGCGGACCCTGGTGCGGGTGTCCCTGCTGGCTCTGGTGTCGCTGCTCGGTCTCAGCCGTACTTTGTTCCGCTCCTTCAGCAGGTTCTTGGTCAGCTTCCTCCTCCTTTTCCTCCTCCCTCCTTAGAGTGTCCTCAGCCGGTCCAGCTGCAGTCGGCGTTACCGTCTGCCTCCTCTCTCCTTGGTCCTGCTCCTTACACTGGTCCGACTGGAGGTCTTACTGAGCGGCGTGAGCCTGCGTCTCGTCCTGCGTCGCCTGAGTCTCGTCCTGGGTCGCCTGTCCGCACTGCTCTCTCTAGTCGTCGAGTCCAGCGTCAGCGTCTTCCTGCTGTCCCAGGCACTCACCGGATGGCGCTTCGTCCGTCCACTGCTCCACAGCGTGTCCCACTGCCGTCTCCTCCTGCTTCCTCTCTTCCTGTTCTTCCTGACCCTGGGTCAGACTCTCTTCGTGCTACCAGTCCTGCTGTCACGCGTCTCCTGGCCACTGTTGTCACTGACCCTTCCTTTGAGTCTGCTGCTGCGTCTGCCTTAGTTGCTGAGCTTGTCGACTTTGCTGCTCGCTGTCGTCTAGACTACGCTGCTAGCCTAGTTGCTGAGTCTGAGTCTGTCTGTCCTCCGTCCGTCGGGGGTGAGTGTGCTCTTGGCACTGACGTCCTTGAGGACAGGCAGGAGGAGTTCCAGTGCTTTGCTGCCGCTTTGCCCCATCTCGTGTCCATGCTTGTTGCCCCTGAGGGAGACCCGGATGCACCAGACATCCCGACCCCACGCTCTTACGCAGAGGCGATGGCCGGTCCCTACTCCTCTCAGTGGCAGTCAGCCATGGATACAGAGATGGCTTCCTGGAAGTCCACAGGCACCTACGTCGACGAGGTTCCCCCGCCTGGGGCGAACATCGTCAGTGGCATGTGGATTTTCAGGGTGAAGCGGCCGCCGGGTTCTCCGCCTGTCTTCAAGGCGCGTTACGTTGCACGAGGCTTCAGTCAGCGCGAGGGAGTTGACTTCTTCCAGACCTTCTCCCCGACCCCGAAGATGACCACTCTTCGGGTTCTGCTGCACGTCGCCGCTCAGCGTGACTACGAGCTCCACTCGCTTGACTTCAGCACTGCTTTCCTGCAGGGCAGCCTGCACGAGGAGATCTGGCTGCGCCGTCCACCTGGCTTCACTGGGTCGTTCCCTCCTGGTACCCAGTGGAGCCTCCGACGGCCAGTCTACGGTCTCCGCCAGGCGCCTCGTGAGTGGCACGACACACTGAGGACTACGCTTGCGGCTCTTGGGTTCGCGCCTTCTACTGCTGACCCGTCGCTGTTTCTACGCACCGACACCTCACTGCCGCCGTTCTACGTCCTTGTGTACGTCGACGACTTGGTCTTTGCTACTGCTGACACTGTGGCACTCGCCCACGTGAAGTCGGAACTGCAGAAGAGACACACGTGCACAGACCTGGGTGAACTGACAAGCTATCTTGGCTTGCGGATCACCCGGGACAGAGCACGCCGCACCATCACCTTGACTCAGTCACACATGGTGCAGCAGGTCCTTCAGCGCTTCCGCTTCACGTACTCCTCGCCTCAGCCCACTCCTCTGCCTACCGGTCACTCGCTCTCAGCTCTGCCTTCGGATGAGTCCGTAGAGCCGAGTGGCCCGTATCCAGAGCTTGTGGGTTGCCTCATGTACCTGATGACCTGCACTCGACCAGACCTTGCATACCCTCTCAGCATTCTTGCACGCTATGTCGCTCCCGGCCGTCACCGGAAGGAGCACATGGATGCAGCTAAGAGGGTGTTGCGCTACTTGTGCAGTACGTCGGGCATGGGGCTAGTGCTTGGAGGGCGAGTCCCAGTTGTTCTCACTGGGCACTCAGACGCTTCTTGGGCAGACGACCAGGCTACTCAGCGGTCGTCTCAGGGTTACTCCTTCAGTCTTGGCTCTGGTTCTGTTTCTTGGCGTTCTACTCGCTCTTCTTCTGTTCTCAGCTCCAGTTGTGAGGCTGAGATCTACGCCACAGCCATGGCGGCCCAGGAGCTACGCTGGCTCACCTACTTGCTGACCGACCTTGGAGAGCAGCCTCGTTCTCCTCCAGTGCTGTACGTCGACAACAAGGCAGCCATTGCCTTGTGTGAGGAGCACAGACTGGAGCACAGAACGAAGCACATTGCTCTGCGTTACTTCCTCGCTCGAGAGCTGCAGCAGCGTGGTCAGCTTCGCCTGCGTTACGTGGCCTCTGAGGCCAACACTGCTGATGTGTTCACCAAGGCGCTTCAGCCTTGTGACCATCAGCGCTTTTGCACTCTTCTAGGCCTTGTGCCTACTGGACCTCACTTGCTTACTTCTTGAGTCTGTTGTACTGTGATCTCTATATATAAACCTGCATGTGAACTGGTCTTGTGACCACTTGCTTGTGCTCGGAATTTGTGTGGTATCCTTGAGATCCACCCTGAGCTTGTTTTGCCTTGCTTTGCCTTGACTGGTCTTGTGACCCCTAGTTCTCTCCCACTTTGCCTATGGGGGTGTGTCAAACATTATATATGTTGTGTTAGTTTAGGCTACAGTGGGTTAGCCTATAGGGGGTACACAATTCTAGGGTTAGGTACTTGTACTCTTTTCATTGCTAGTTCATTCATTCCTGTTCAGTGATTCCAACACTGTTAACGAAGGAAATATGTCTGACCCCTATGAGGCACATTTGATCGAAACTCCAGTCCCAGTGCTTCGACATCGCCATCCGAAGCATGGACTTGCGGCGAGGACCGAGGTTCCATCCCACACCCCTAGCAAGAAAGGAAATCGTGCTGTCTCAAAAAACCGACCTAGATTTTAGACTCTGGAGCGGACTGTCACGTTTTGACTGCAGTGTTGTTATGAGCTTAGTACTTGGCATCTGCTAAATCATCGACGATATGGGTACTATCGAGCTAGCGCAAGGGGAAATGCCACAGCAGCCAAGGGCCGCTGGTCATCCAGAACGCCGGCAACGAATTAGCACCCTTAGTGATCCCTTTTCAAATATTTCTGACGATCTGCTAGAAACCATTCTTCTCCTCGTCGCATCTAAGGGCACCAAGTTCGATAGCCACGACAGTCTCAGTAACGAGCCCATCCTGCAAAACAGGATCGAGCAAGCGTTGAATGAGCACCTGCCGAACGAAAGCGTCTTATTCGGGTTACCCGAGGCTCCTGTCGCCACAGCCTCGTCGCTCACCGCCTTCCACTACGCTCTGGTCTGCAAGCGATGGTTGCGCGTCGCCAGATCCGTGCATCCCGCCATCGTCGTGCCTCGAAACCGCTTTTTCTCCGCACGAACTCTCGCCTCGCTCCTAGTCTCACCCACCTCGGGATTCCCGAACCTTCGCCATCTGCACCTCGGCGAATTCGCGACGGACGTCGTAGATCGCCACCTCGTGCAATCAATCTGCGACGGAAGCGGCTCGTCGCTGACCCATTTCACAATGCACCTGTACGATCGCCGACGAGTGACAACCAGTAGTATATCAAGCTATCAGTCAATACCGAGCAGGGATCAGTCGACCAGCCTTGCACCGATCTCGGCCTCAGACGTCGCCGAGATCTTCAATTCCTGCACGCGATTGGTCAATCTGAATTTAAGATTCGGAAAAGGTGTTTCTGAGATCCCAGCTTCCATCAGCCGCTTACAGCAGCTCACGCGCCTCAGCATGAGCTTCAGTAACGTTACCGGGTTACCAGAGGAGCTGTGCGGCTTGTTGGGACTGAAGCAGTTGCTCATCGTGTCGCAGTCACTTCGCGAGCTGCCTATTTCGTTCGAGTGTCTCACCTCCCTGGAGCATCTCTCTCTTCGCAACTGCTTAATAGGCCATCTCCCGAGCGATTTAGGCCAGCTTCGTAACATCAAGATCCTAAGCCTATCGTATCTGCGTCGCCTCATTGCTCTTCCGGAATCCATCTGTCAACTGCCGGCGCTCTCCCACCTTTCTCTCGACCACTGCCGCCGATTCGCCATGCTACCAGAAAATCTCTTCCAGCTGCCCGACCTGGATACGCTGCATCTAGACGGTCTGCCTGCTCTCACTTCGTTTCCCGATTCGTTCGGCAGGCTGCCCGCCAGCCAACCCTTGGGATCTCCCGCCCTCCGGAGTCTCACCATCCACGACTGTAAACGCCTATCCTCGCTGCCAGAATCTATCGGCCAGTTTTGCGCTCTCCAGCAGCTTCGTCTGAAGTTTCTTGATAAGCTTACAGCTCTTCCGCATTCCTTGGGGTTCCTTATGGCAATGAAGGAGTTGAGAGTGTTTGAGTGCGCCTATCTCGTGAATCTCCCTGAGTCTGTATCCGCCATGGCAGCGCTCACAAGCCTCATTCTTGATGGCTGCTCTTTTTCAGGCCTGCCCGGAGACATCGGGCAGCTGCAAAACTTGGTCACTGTGAAGCTGTTTTCTACAAGCCTTTCTCACCTGCCTGACTCGTTCGGGCAGCTAGGGCAGCTGAAAGAGCTGATCATTTGTGAATGCTACAACCTATACGAGCTCCCTGCCTCGTTCACCAACCTCTCTTCATTAGAAACCCTACTCATCTATGGTGGATCCTCGCTTATAGACTTGCCTCTGGGTTTCGAGACTCTGCCGAAGCTCCGTACACTAGAGCTGCTAAACTGCGCCATGCCGTACCTGCCCGATAGGTTCGGGGAGCTGCCGAGCCTGGAGATCCTCAAAGTGCAATCGACCGACACATACACCAGCGAAGGCCAGGACATTGAGCTGGACGGATTCTGCTCCCTGCGTGGCTTTCCCTCCTCCTTCAGCCTGCTCATACGCCTGGAACAGCTGATCATAGACGGGTGTGGGATGCTGGGGGAGCTGCCGAGCGGCATGGGCAATCTGTGCAGACTGAAGGTCCTGAAAGTGGAGAAGTGCAAGCGGCTGAAGGTCTTTCCGTCCTTCTTGCCCTCTGCTGAGGATGGTGCCGCAGGTGCCGGATCGTCTGCTCCTGGTGCCACCTCTGCTGCTCCTGCTGCTGCTGCTGCTGCTGCTGCTGCTGCTGCTGCTGCTGCTGCTACTGCTGTTGCTGCTTCTGCCTCATTTTCCACCACTTCAGCTGCTGCCACCTCATTTGCTGCCACTTCAATTGCTGCCACCTCATCTGTTGCCACTTCAGCTGCTGCCACTTCGTATGCTGCCACCTCATGCGCTGACACCTTCTCCTTTTCCACTACCATCACTCCGCTCCCACTACTTGAAGAGCTGCTTATCTCATCCTGCCCAAAGCTAACGAACCATCCAGAAGGCCTCCTCTGCTGCCTAGGCTGAAACATTTCACGCTCGAAAAATGCACTAGCCTAAAACTCGCCAACTCAACCACCAACTCAGTCTCTTCATTCCCCTCCTCCTCCAATTTGGCCCCCCCACTAGTAGCGCCTATCTCCCTTCCGCAAGCCGTAGCGACCGTAATCATCTCAAATGTCTTCAAGTCAGCTCACTACCTCCCAGAATCTTTCCTTTCCCTTGATCGCCTTCGTCACTTGAACCTATATGACCTCCGATTCCTCAAGTGCCTTATATCCCCCCCAGCCCTCAGCCAAACCCCAAACAATGCCGAAGCTGAAGTGGAGGGTATACCTCACACCCCTCTGCCTGAGCTTCCCAGGATGACTGGATCGATTGAGCAGGCTGGGTTGGGGTGCCTGTCGGCTCTGGTGCACCTTCACATTGTCAACACCAACCTCCCCTCACTTCCGGAAAACCTAGGCGATTTGAAAGAGCTGGCAGTGCTGCTGCTAGAGAAGTGCCATGCCATGACATCGCTTCCTGCCTCCATGGCTACCCTTCCCAAACTGCAGCAGATTGGTCTATAGTCTCTTCCTCTGCTGACTCACCTGCCCGAGAATCTCGGGCAGCTGAAGGCACTCAATGATTTGGGTTTAGATTCATGCAAAACCCTGGAGAGCCTTCCTGAATCATGCAGCCTGATCTCCTCCCTTATAGTGCTCAGCATCATTTATTGTCCTAAAATCGCTTGTCTTCCAGATTCACTCTCCTCATTCACCCGCCTTTCCTCTCTGAAGCTCAATCGTCTTTCCAAGCTGCGGTTTCTCCCTTCTCCATTCTCCCTCCCATCCCTCATCAAGCTCTCAGTGCAAAATTGCAAGGCGCTGAGGGCCCTACCCAGCGACTTGGGCAGTTTGTGCTGTCTGAGGGAGGTGGATCTGGATGGGTGTACGCAGTTGAAGGAGCTGCCACAATCGCTGGTGGATAGAGTGAATGTGATTCAGATGAAGGGTTTTTGGGGAAAGATCAGGAAATATAAATATTGAAATATCGAAAGGCTAAGATATATTTAAAGGTCTAGGCAGTTGACACGACATTTCGTCACAGTTACGACTGTTGTATTCTGTATACTTGCCAATTCGTAATGCTCCTTTTCAGGCTCCCAGGAGTCAGTGTAAAAGCGTTGATTAGGTAAATTCGCTGTTTTTTGAAATCTTTTATCATTATCATCAGTGCCCTCTCTTCACCGCTTAGAACCGCTCGCTACTGCTGACCCGTCTCTCAACACCAACGCCGCACTGACGATTTTCATTTCACAACCATCACTCGCCCCTCGTGCATTTGTAGAGAATTTCAAGGTGGCTTAGGTTTGGTCTTCAGGGTTCGAGTAGGGTTTGATAAGTGCTATTATCACTGGCACGGCACAACATGACGTGCGGTGATCCCTTCTCCCAGTTCTCTGACGATCTGCTTGGCTCGATCCTTCTCCTCGCCGCGTCTGCGACAACCACCAGATTCGACGGCCACGATTGTGAATCTAGTAGCGAGGACATTCTGCGTGACGCGATCGGCAAAGCATTGGACGAGCCTCTGCCGTCGGAGAATGCGTGGGCTGGCACCACGCGCGATGCACGTGTGGTTACCGCTTCTTCGCTCGTTTCCTTTCGCCACGCGCTGGTCTGCAAGCGATGGCTGCTCGTCGCCAGATCCGTGCATCCCGCCATCGTCGTGCCTTACGATCGCTTCTTCTCATCCCAAACTCTCGGCTCGCTCCTCACCTCACCCACCTCGGGATTCCCGAACCTTCGCCATCTGCACCTCGGCGAATTCGCGACGGACGTCGTCGATCGCCACCTCGTGCGATCCGTCTGCGACGGGTGCGGGTCCTCCTTCACGCATCTCACGATGCATCTGTACGATCGACGGATGGCGACTCGCGCGCAGGAAGACGAAATCAGAAGCGCGGCGCGCAACGGCCGTGCGGCGATCTCGCCGTCCGATGTCTCCCAGATCTTCAATTCCTGCACACGATTGGTCAGTTTGGATCTACGGCTAGCGGACGGCGTTCCCACGCTGCCGCCTTCCATCAGCCGCCTACAGCATCTCACGAGGCTCAGCATGCGATCAACCTACAGCGTTACCGGGTTACCAACGGAATTCGGCTGCTTGTTGCGATTGAAGCGGTTGGAGTTTGAACTAGATTCCCTTGAAGCTCTGCCCGATTCCATCTGCGATCTTAAGGCTCTGGAGCACTTAGAGATTCAAAGATCCCCTTTGTCCAACCTACCCGAGAATTTCGGGCAGCTGCGAAACCTAAGAAGCCTCACGCTCTCGTTAGTAGAAGGTCTTCATGAGCTGCCCGAATCCTTTTGCGATCTACCAGCCCTCACGCGGTTCTCGCTCCTGTACTGCTATGACTTTTTGAAGCTGCCCGAAAACTTCCATCAGCTGTCAAGGCTGGAAGCGGTAGAAGTCTCGACTCTATCCGCCTTCACTTCGTTTCCTGACTCGTTCGGGCAGCTGCCCGCTCTGCAGGAGTTACGCCTTCAAAACTGGGATTTCTCGCAGCTCCCAGCCTCCCTTTGCTCGAGTCAAAGCCTCCGTAGCTTAACCCTCAACAACTGTGGAAGCATGACGGCCCTGCCTGAAGATTTCGGCCGAATCTCCACTCTAGAGTACCTGAGTTTGGAAATGTTTGGGAAATTCAGGGTTATTCCGGACTCTATCGGCCTTCTGTCTCAACTCAAGGAGCTGAATGTGATTGACTGCTGTGAGCTTTCGGCCTTCCCACAGTCCGTCTCCGCTATGGAGTCACTCACAAGCCTCGTTCTTGATGGCTGCGATCTTCACGAGCTGCCCGGAGACATCGGGCAGCTTTCAAACCTGGTTTCGCTGAAGCTGTCCAGTAGCAAGCTCGTCACTCTGCCCGACTCGTTTGGGCAGCTGCCTGCTTGAGCTTCCAAACTCCTTCACCAATCTCAACTCCTTGGAAACCCTTTTCATTTACGGTGGTGCTTCTCTAGTAGACCTCCCTCCAGGTTTTGAAACCCTCTCGAAGCTGCGCACTCTCTATCTCTTCAACTGCGTCTTTGCGAGCCTGCCGGACAGGTTCGGGGACCTGCCGAGCCTGGAAGTGCTCAGGATCGGGACAAAGGCAACGTACAGCAGGAATAGGCTCGAGACCGGCAGCGAATCAGATTACGGAGATGAGTTGGAAGGCGCGTGCGCCCTCCACATGCTTCCCCAGTCCCTGGTTCGCCTCACAGGACTGGTAGAGCTCGTTTTGGAGGGGTGTGAGATGCTGGAGGAGTTGCCGCCAGGCATGGGGGGGCTGTCCAGCCTTAGAGTGCTCGAGGTGAGGAATTGCCCTCAGCTGCGGCTCTTCCCGTCCCTGCTCTCCCCTCCCGTCGTTGCTGCTGCAGCTGCCACCCCTGCTCCCCCGTTTCCATCGCTGGAGCAGCTGGAGATATCTGACTGCCCGCGCCTGGAGAGCCTTCCAGAGGGCCTGCATCTGCTGCCTAGACTGGAACACTTGGCTCTTGAAGACTGCCCCAGTCTAGAGCTCACACACCCGAGCCCCTTGCCCCCCCCCACGTCCCCAACCCCACAGAGCAATACTTTTCTGTCTGCACTCTCCCCACCATCGACCTCCCCCTCCTCCCCTCCTCTTGTTGCGCCCATCTCCCTTCCGATTTCCATGAAAACCATCATTCTCTCAAACGTCTTCCAGTCAGCCCAGTACCTGCCAGAATCCCTTCTTTCCCTCGCCCAACTCACCCACTTGAACATCTACGACCTTCCATCTCTCCAGCAGCTTATTGCCCCTTCCCTTGTGACCCAGTCCTCAGCCTACGATCAAGCCACCCACAATCACCAATCTGAAAGATTTGATTCTGATTCTGATGTGCCTGCCAGATTGGATCTCTTTCCTTCTCTGCAGCATCTTCACATCGCCCTCTCCAACCTCTCTGCACTCTCTGAAACCGTGGGCAATCTGGCGCAGCTGAAAGTGCTGCTGCTAGAGGAGTGTCCTGCCATGACCTCCCTTCCTGCGTCCCTCACTAGCCTCTCCAATCTCCAACAACTGACACTCAAGTCGCTCCCCTTGCTGACCCACATGCCCGAAAATATCGGGCAGCTTAAAGCCCTGCGCAATCTGAGTCTGGAGTCCTGCCAAGCTCTTAAAGCCCTGCCGTTCTCCGTCACCCTCCTCTCCTCCCTCATGCGTCTCACCATCGAAGACTGTCCCAACCTCACCCGCCTCCATCTCCTCTCTCTCCAGCCTTGCCTCTCACTCTCACACGCCTTCCTTTCCTCCGCCGCCTCCCCTCCCCGCTCTCCCTCCCGCACCTCATCAACCTCTCACTGCAAGGTTGCAAGCGCCTGAGGGCTCTGCCCTGCGACTTGGGCGGTTTGTCCTGTCTGAGGGAGGTGGATCTGGACGGGTGTACACAGTTGAAGGAGCTGCCAGTGTCGCTGGTGGATCATATGAATGTGATTACAGTGAAGGGTTCTTGGGGGTGGCACCTGTAGGCGACTGTGATGTAAGAGGGATGGGGGCAGATAGCATGAATGTGACTGTAGTGAAGGGTACAGGGGGGATGGAGAAGCTGGTAGTGTGTGCCTTGTGCAGAGGGAAGTAATGATTGGGGGAGTCTTGCTGAGATTTATGGCTGAAGGTAAAGGAGCAGATCCTAAGACTTCTGCGATAGTGCATTATTCTCTTGGTATCCTCTAGTATGTCTCATACATGACCTGTTCGGTATTCTAAAAAAACGTGATGTCAAGTTTCACACTTTTTTCTGTGCTGAAAAGAAGGTTCACAAAATGCTATATAAAACACCGAATAAAACATTCAGTGGCATGTTTCTGGTGGTAAGCTCATGGCCACAGATTGCAAGTTGACAAAGAAATCGATCTTGCAACCATAGTAAACTCAGGATGTATTAGGTCCTGGTGGTGATCCTGCTACCATACTGTAACTGGAACAGCCTTCACAACAGTGAAAGGTACGGTGAAGAGGACAGTTTCATACGTCACAACAACTCTACATACAAGCACTTATTAAGCAAGACAACCCTAGGGCACATCTAATACAGTAGTTTGCAAGAAAGTACACGTACTTTACTAAGTTTGTATTAGCAGAGGAAGAAGTGCTCTTAAGTGGAGAGGAGAAAGGGCCTTATTGAGTGGAGGGGAGAAGGGGTGTCATTGAGTGGAGGGGAGAAGGGGCGTTGTTGAGTGGAGGGGAAAAGGGGCGTTGTTGAGTGGAGGGGAGAAGGGGTGTTGTCGAGTGGAGGGGAGAAGGGGTGTTGTGGAGTGGAAGGGAGAAGGGGTGTTGTTGAGTGGAGGGGAGAAGTGGCGTTGTTGAGTGGAGGGGAGAAGGGGTGTTGTCGAGTGGAGGGGAGAAGGGGTGTTGTCGAGTGGAGGGGAGAAGGGGTGTTGTTGAGTGGAGGGGAGAAGGGGCGTTGTTGAGTGGAGGGGAGAAGGGGTGTTGTTGAGTGGAGGGGAGAAGGGGCGTTGTTGAGTGGAGGGGAGAAGGGGTGTTGTTGAGTGGAAGGGAGAAGGGGTGTTGTTGAGTGGAGGGGAGAAGGGGTGTTGTTGAGTGGAGGGGAGAAGGGGCGTTGTTGAGTGGAGGGGAGAAGGGGTGTTGTTGAGTGGAAGGGAGAAGGGGTGTTGTTGAGTGGAGGGGAGAAGGGGTGTTGTCGAGTGGAGGGGAGAAGGGGTGTTGTTGAGTGGAGGGGAGAAGGGGCGTTGTTGAGTGGAGGGGAGAAGGGGTGTTGTTGAGTGGAGGGGAGAAGGGGTGTTGTTGAGTGGAGGGGAGAAGGGGTGTTGTTGAGTGGAGGGGAGAAGGGGTGTTGTTGAGTGGAGGGGAGAAGGGGCGTTGTTGAGTGGAGGGGAGAAGGGGTGTTGTTGAGTGGAAGGGAGAAGGGGTGTTGTTGAGTGGAGGGGAGAAGGGGTGTTGTCGAGTGGAGGGGAGAAGGGGTGTTGTTGAGTGGAGGGGAGAAGGGGCGTTGTTGAGTGGAGGGGAGAAGGGGTGTTGTTGAGTGGAAGGGAGAAGGGGTGTTGTTGAGTGGAGGGGAGAAGGGGTGTTGTTGAGTGGAGGGGAGAAGGGGCGTTGTTGAGTGGAAGGGAGAAGGGGCGTTGTTGAGTGGAGGGGAGAAGGGGTGTTGTTGAGTGGAAGGGAGAAGGGGTGTTGTTGAGTGGAGGGGAGAAGGGGTGTTGTTGAGTGGAGGGGAGAAGGGGCGTTGTTGAGTGGAGGGGAGAAGGGGTGTTGTTGAGTGGAAGGGAGAAGGGGTGTTGTTGAGTGGAGGGGAGAAGGGGTGTTGTTGAGTGGAGGGGAGAAGGGGCGTTGTTGAGTGGAAGGGAGAAGGGGCGTTGTTGAGTGGAGGGGAGAAGGGGTGTTGTTGAGTGGAAGGGAGAAGGGGTGTTGTTGAGTGGAAGGGAGAAGGGGTGTTGTTGAGTGGAGGGGAGAAGGGGTGTTGTTGAGTGGAGGGGAGAAGGGGCGTTGTTGAGTGGAGGGGAGAAGGGGTGTTGTTGAGTGGAGGGGAGAAGGGGCGTTGTTGAGTGGAGGGGAGAAGGGGTGTTGTTGAGTGGAAGGGAGAAGGGGTGTTGTTGAGTGGAGGGGAGAAGGGGTGTTGTCGAGTGGAGGGGAGAAGGGGTGTTGTTGAGTGGAGGGGAGAAGGGGCGTTGTTGAGTGGAGGGGAGAAGGGGTGTTGTTGAGTGGAAGGGAGAAGGGGTGTTGTTGAGTGGAGGGGAGAAGGGGTGTTGTTGAGTGGAGGGGAGAAGGGGCGTTGTTGAGTGGAGGGGAGAAGGGGTGTTGTTGAGTGGAAGGGAGAAGGGGTGTTGTTGAGTGGAGGGGAGAAGGGGTGTTGTCGAGTGGAGGGGAGAAGGGGTGTTGTTGAGTGGAGGGGAGAAGGGGCGTTGTTGAGTGGAGGGGAGAAGGGGTGTTGTTGAGTGGAAGGGAGAAGGGGTGTTGTTGAGTGGAGGGGAGAAGGGGTGTTGTTGAGTGGAGGGGAGAAGGGGCGTTGTTGAGTGGAAGGGAGAAGGGGTGTTGTTGAGTGGAGGGGAGAAGGGGTGTTGTTGAGTGGAGGGGAGAAGGGGCGTTGTTGAGTGGAGGGGAGAAGGGGTGTTGTTGAGTGGAAGGGAGAAGGGGTGTTGTTGAGTGGAGGGGAGAAGGGGTGTTGTTGAGTGGAGGGGAGAAGGGGCGTTGTTGAGTGGAAGGGAGAAGGGGCGTTGTTGAGTGGAGGGGAGAAGGGGTGTTGTTGAGTGGAAGGGAGAAGGGGTGTTGTTGAGTGGAAGGGAGAAGGGGTGTTGTTGAGTGGAGGGGAGAAGGGGTGTTGTTGAGTGGAGGGGAGAAGGGGCGTTGTTGAGTGGAGGGGAGAAGGGGTGTTGTTGAGTGGAAGGGAGAAGGGGTGTTGTTGAGTGGAGGGGAGAAGGGGTGTTGTTGAGTGGAGGGGAGAAGGGGCGTTGTTGAGTGGAAGGGAGAAGGGGCGTTGTTGAGTGGAGGGGAGAAGGGGTGTTGTTGAGTGGAAGGGAGAAGGGGTGTTGTTGAGTGGAGGGGAGAAGGGGTGTTGTTGAGTGGAGGGGAGAAGGGGCGTTGTTGAGTGGAAGGGAGAAGGGGCGTTGTTGAGTGGAGGGGAGAAGGGGTGTTGTTGAGTGGAAGGGAGAAGGGGTGTTGTTGAGTGGAGGGGAGAAGACGTCCATGTTGACGGAATTGCAGATGACACCATTGTGAGTGCACTCATTTATTTCATCCTACAGAGTACACCACACTGACCGGATATCACTACCGGTAGATGCTTCCATGTCCCTGGTTAAGCATAACAAGGGGAGAACATATAGGAAAAAACGACTTAGAAAGTATTAACTATGATTATGGTGCAGAAAAGGAAAAGGAAAAGCTGCGTAACAATCAACCACTCACAGTGCAAATTCGGCGAAGGGTGAGTAGGGGCCTTCAAAAACAATATTGCCGTCACAATTATCTCCTTCGTAAAGCTTGTAGTTGGAGCAAGTCGGGGCATCACCAGTGTTGTCAGGACAATACATTGACAACCCAGCCACGCCCTCGGGAAATTGCGTGCAGGCATTCAGGTTGAGGCGGAATGTGTAGGGTCGAGAAGTCCTGTCCTTGGCCTTCCGATTCATGATGTATGTGAAGCTGTGTGAAGACACAGTGGGTGTACCGCCTGAGAAAGAGTGGCACAGGGAAGGAGTCGAGAAGTGTTTTTGAGCGTATATTCATGCATTCCCTATTTTTGAGGCGCCTAAAAATGAGGTGCATCAAGAAGACCTCGTGGAAGTCCCGCCTGAGAAGAGTGGCACTAGTAAGGACTCAGATGAATGTTTGTATGCGCTTTCACTCTTTCCCACGTCCATACACACTGAAATGCATTCCCGCATTCATACATTCTTTCATTACCAGAGTCCAATCAGATTCAGCCATTCAGGCAGGTTGGCAGAGCGAGGAAGGTGAAGCAAAGAGTTGAACGAGTGGGGGAGAGGAGAGAGTCGGGAGAGGAGAGAGCGGGGAGAGAAAGAAGTGGGGAGAATGCAGCGTAGAGAGAGGAGAGAATGGAGCGAGTAGGCAGAGGAGAGAATAGGGAGCGGAGAGAATGGGGTAAGCAGAGTGCGCATGAGTGAGGTGGTCTCACCCGCAACACACTCGGTCGGGGTGATCCCAGAGCCTTCAGGGCAAGCACAGTAAGGCAGCGCCACCGTCTCACTGGCGGTTGCTGAAGGGAAGGACTTGCAGGTGGCTCCAGTGGGGCACTCGCCACAGGGAGAGTCTGAGGGGTGGGCATGGGTGCAGTGCGGCATGTGAGCCGATTTTGAGTCGACTCAACAATTAAGGAAGCGACACCGTCCCACTGGCGGTTGCTGAAGGGAAGGACTTGCAGGTGGCTCCAGTGGGGCAATCGCCACAGGGAGAGTCTGAGGGGTGGGCATGGGTGCAGTGCGGTACGTGAGTACGACTGCTTGTGGGGGATCGAGGTTCCAGAGGGGCGGGAGGCACAGGGTGAGGCAGAGGAAAGTCGTTCGCATGGGAGATGCGAGAGAGATGCATGTGGTCGCATGAAAGCCGTTGCATATTCACCCCACGGGTTGGCATGGGTTTGATGTACGAATACATGAGTTGAGATGAGAACAGAAGAGCTAGGAGGCTCACCCCAGAGGCTAGGAGGCTCACCCCAGAGGCAGAAATGATTTCCGTTGCGATCCACCTCGCATGTGCCACCAGGCACACAGCCCAACGCGTCACAGGTCACATCTGCGGCAGGAGAGGCGGACAGAAAGACGCAACACACAAAAAAGATATGGGAATGGAATTCTTATCAATATAGAAGTTCTTTCAAAGGACATAAGGGCATCGGAATAAAGTAGGCAGGGGTAAGAGGGCATTGCCGTGGACTGAAAATTTGTCAGGAGCTCGGATGCTTGAAATCAAGCAGTGGCAGCATCACAGCTGCCACACCCTTCGGAATCACGCCTTTCGGAATCACATCCTTCGGAATCACACCCTGCGGAATCACACCCCTCGAAATCACAACCTTTGAAATCACACTCTTTAGGATCACACTTTCCAGAATCACACCCTTTTAGGGGGTGTCCCTCTATAGGGGGGTCAGCAAGGAACGTACCAGTGGAGTCCACGTTGCAGAGAACAGACGCCACTGAAGCGCCCTTGCGAATCTTCTTCTCCGTGCTAGGGGACCTGAAGGGCGTGGCAAGTGGAAACTCATGAAGGGAGAGGCGAGTGGAAGCCCACACACTCTATTTGAGGCGTCTCAAAAAGAGAACAGACGCCACTGAAGCGCCCTTGCGACATTCTCCTCTGTGCGTGGGAACCTGAAGGGCGTGGCAAGTGGAAGCACACACACGCCATTTGAGGCGTCTAAAAGGAAAACACTCGCCACCGAAGCACCCTTGCGGTTCTTCCCCGTGCGTGGGAACCTGAAGAGCATGGCAAGTGGAAGCACACACACGTAACGCTCACAGGACATTGTTTTATGTCCCCTTTCCCTCCGTTGTTCCCCCCTACCCAAGCCATGCACTGCTCGCGTCCTCTCGGTGCCCTCTCGCTCCTCGTGCCTCAATCACCGACTTTTGAGGCGCGTCAAAAGCCATGCACTGCTCTTGCCCTCTCGCTCGTCGTGCCCCAATCACCGCGGGCGGCCACCCAACCCAAGCTCACAGCGGCGCACACGGCATCACTGCCACACACCACCCGCCACTCACAACACTCACACAACACCCACCCAACACTCACAGCACTCACAACACCCACCCGCTACTCACACGTCCGCATTGCCAGGGTTGACCATGCCATCCCCCGCCTTGCCCTGGCAGCCGCGTCTCCCAAACACCATCCATCACCCAACACTCACACACCACCCAACACTCGCTACACTCACACACCACCCACCCGCTACTCACACGTCCGCATTGCCCGGGTTGACCATGCCATCCACCGCCTTGCCCTGGCAGCCGCGTTTCCCAAACAGCTGCACGCCGCTGCACCAATCAACACCCGAGAAAGCCGTCCAATCCACGTTGCTGCTATCCGCACCGCGGCCCCTCCACCACACCTGCACGCGGCTCTTCCGCTGCGCCTTCACAGGCACGTTCACGCAGCGCTGCTTGTTGAAGCCCAGCCGCGCCCCTCCCACCGCCACCGTTGTGGAGATGAACGGCTTGCGAACCCCAGTGGTGCTGCTGCTGGCGGTGCTGCTGGCGGTGCTGCTGGCGGTGCTGCTGGCGGTGCTGCTGGCGGTGCTGCTGGCGGTGCTGCTGGCAGTGCTGCTGGCGGTGCTGCTGCCAGTGCTGCTGCCAGTGGTGGCCAGCGCAATCCGCGCATTGACTTTGCTGCTTGCTGCTTCCACCGCCTTGTCTTCTCCATACACGGCGTTCAGCATGCTTCGCAGTGCGGATCCGCGAGGCTGAGACATGCTCTTAACTGTGCCGTCCCCATACGCTGCATTTATCATCTGAGCTGCTGCAAGGGACAAGGAAGAGGATGTGCAGAGAACAGAACAGATTATTTCTTAAACGCCTAAAAAATAGACTCATCTGAACTGCTGCAGAGGACGGGAGAATGTGCAAGGGAGAGAATATGCAAAGAAGAGATCAGAGAGCGGGTATGAGAGAGCAAGGAGTGGGAGAATGGAGGTGTGGAAGTATAATGGAGGCGGGAAACAGAAGCGAGCAGGAGGACAAGAGTGGAGACTCCCTGTTCTTTTGAGGCACCTCAAAAGGAGAAAGGGCATGAATCCGAGAGCCCACAGATCAAGGCAAGGCCTGACCCCACAAGCCTTGCAGCAATAAAGAACTCTCTCATCGATTGCAGATGAGCATATTAACTGTTTCTCGGAGAAGAATACTGACCGCAAATGAGGGCGAGGGCGAGCAACAGGAGCCCAGAGCCAGGGCAGCCCATCAACTTCATGATTGTGGGGGTCCCGCGCGAGAGCAGGCGGAAGAGGCGCAACAGACGAGAGCTTGCGCTGTGAAGCGCGGTTCAAAGCGGTGTAGAGTCGCACGGGGTGTCTGCTGCTGTATTGAGTGCGGAGTGTAGCTGAGGTGGGTAGATTGACGGATAGTGCGATGCAAGGATAGTATAGTGCAAGGACAGAACTGGCGGAAGGATGGTAGAATCAGAAAGAGGAAAGAATGGCAGGCTTGTTTTCTGGCTTCGAATCAGCTGTAATTTATGTTGCGAGTTACAATCACGGCTCGGAGCCAAGCGTAGTATCAGCCGCCGGGCCATGGCTTCGTTTCGGTTGCGAACTCTAGGAACACAATGCGTGCATCAAGACAATCTTGAACCGAAATTATTTGAGGAACGAGAGAGAGAGAGAGTCGCGCGGCGGACGAGCCAATGTGGATCTAAGAACGCGATACGAGCGACGGGTTGCAAGAAACATATGCGAGGGACTTTTGTTCGCGAACCAATGATGCAACGCCGTGGCTTCCCGTTCCAGTCAGACGGACCATGCGACAAGGAGAGGATTCTATGAAACCAGCAGCAGCGTTATCGGAGTGCATTATGCAAGTAACCTTCATAGCACTCGATTGGGAAGACACGGGAGTGGTAGCTGCCACTGGTTAGAAATCGCTACCAACGGGAATGGCTCCCGCGTTATCCATTCGGACTGGTGCGTGTTGGAGTGACGCGTTCCAAACACAAATCTAAGAAAATTTCCAGCGACTTCAGGCTTCTGCTGCTGAATCGAATCAGGGCGCGGTACATTTAGTCTGTTCAATTTGAGGCGCAGTTGAGCCTCGCCCCAAGCTCCCAGCTGACAAACAACCCACACCAGGTAAGCTTGGCGAGGATTCAGAGGAGACGAAATAACGCGAAATAGGGGTGATGCTTTGTCGCAAGTGCAGATCGAGAACCCATCACTAGTAACAGGACAGATTTTCGCATAATGCGAAAGGAGTGACTTACACACTCAAGCGCGGTTTCCGATACCCCCGAGCCTCGGGTTACCAAACAAAGCTGTTGCAGCCTTTCGAGTTCGAAATGGGGTCGGAAAGTTGGGTCGGGGCTGCGTGACAACCACACTGCTGGTAACGAGGCATTCAGGTCTACAATGAGCTCACACTGCCCTCATCCGCGCTGTGAATATTCCGCCAACAATATGCAACGCTACAAAATCTAGGTTTTTATGGGTGGTTGTGACATATTTTGTGGATATAATATTGTAGATTGCTTTCAGAAAAATGTTCTTCTTGTAGGGGGTAGTTAGCCATTGTAATGAAAATTCCTTTCCTTAATTCACGTCCCTGCTCAACGCGTACACCACTGTTTCCTGCCAACAACTCTCAACAATGCACCGTTACCACTCGCGACACTCGCATCGACTACTGTTCCCGCCACTGTTTACGACGCGACCCAAACTCACGGTTCGGGTGGTAACCCGCACTCCGGAACCCCGCCTCGACAATTCCCTGCCTCGGCGCTAGGCCCGTATGTCAAATGTTGTAGTCTTTGTGATGTGTGTTATAGGGGGTACAACTGTTAGGGTTATGTTTATGTACCCCAACCAACCTTAGTCAAGCCAATACTTTCATTCTTGACATGGTATCACCTAGGTTAGGATCCTGTGAGATCCCGCTAGAGCCTCTCGTGCCCGTTGCACGTAGTCTACCATTCCCGTTGCGCCTGTTTCGTCCCGTAGCGCCTCTTGTGGCCGTTCGTTCCATCCTGTAGCGCCCTAAGCGCTTGTCCGTTCCGTCACGAAGCGCCCGTAGCGCCTGTAGCGCCCTTAGCGCTTGCCCGTTCCGTCGCGAAGCGCCCGTAGCACCTGTAGCGCCCTTAGCGCCTGCCCGCTTCGTCACGTAGCACCCGTAGCGCTCGTAGTGCCCGTCGCCCGCGCCTACCTGCCCCTCGTTCTGTCCCCTGCCCGTCGCATCACATCCCCTGCCCGTCCCCTCCCCTGCCCGTCGCGTCCCCTGCCCGTCCCGTCCCGTCCCCAGCGTGTCGCGCTGCCCGTCCGTCCCGTCCCCTGCGCGTCGCGCTGCCCGTCCCGTCCCCCCCTCCCGTCAGCGCGTCGCGCTGCCCGTACCGTCCCGTCCCCTGCACGTCGCGCTGCCCGTCCCGTCCCCTGCGCGTCGCGCTGCGCGTCCAGTCGCGTTTCGTCCCCTGCCCGTCGCGTCTCGTCCCCCCCCTCCCGTCGAGTCGCCCCCAGCCCGTCGCGTCGCGCCCTGCTGTCCCGTCGAGTCGCGTCCTACCCGCCCCGTCGCGTCGCGCCTTCCGCTCAACCTGCCGCGCCCTGCTCGGACCCTCTATGCGTTTAGGGTTTTGGAAGCAGCAGTATCGACCTCTACGGTTCCACTATGGCGACCCCTAGGGTCCTGCGCATTGACGCAGAGGGAAGGCCACTCGAGTTCTTGGTCTGGCTCCTGCGTGCGTGCCGCCTCCTAGAGAGCCAGGTTCAGACACACGAGCCTCTGTGGGCGCACGCTTCCGGTGACCTTCTTGAGCCCGCTAGCCCTGCACCCTTAGCAGCTGACCCACACCTGCAGACAGTGACCGTTATGCACACGAGCGTGCTGACGTGACCGCGTGGAAGTTGCGTGACGTTGCGACCTGCATTGCCCTCAGCAGCCTCCTCCCTGAGTCTGAGGAGACCCCTTTACTCAGGTTCGCACGGCTAGTGAGTTCTTGACTGCGATCAAGGCCCGCTACGCTACTCCCACCATTGTCTCTCTTGGTCTCCTGTTCCTTCCGTTCCTGTTTCCTGACCTCGCCTCGTTTGAGCGCACTGCTGACTTGACCACTCATCTGCGCTCGCTCGATTCTAGCTACCGCGCTGCTTCCACTGACGCACAGCTTTCACTGCTCCCTCCCCCCATGGCAATTACTATCTAATTCATCGCCACTAGCCTCCCTGACCGCCTTGCCTTGGTTCGTGACGCGCTTCTTTTGACCCTAGCGAGCTCACTATCGAGGTCCTTGAGTCGGCCCTCGAGGACGTCGAGAGCAACCTCCGCTCGGTAGCCTCTGCCTCTGGTGCTGTGCCCCCTCCACTGTTTCACAGGTGCACTGTCCCTCAGCTGCCCACCTTTACTGCCTCCCTCGCCACTGCCCCTACTGACATGACCGCAGTTGCTGTTACGACTTCTTCGCGGTCTCGGGGTAGGAGTGGCAGGAGGGGTGGTCAGGGTGCGGGCGGAGGCGGCGGAGGCGGTGGAGGTGACATGGCGAGCGGGAGTGCAGGGGCTGGAGGAGCGCCTCGTGCAGTGACCGGTGACTCCCCAGCTGCAGCTGGTGGAGGTGACGCCTGGGTTCGTCAGCCACCTACTGGTCTGCCAGCTGCAGGGGGTGGAGCAGCTGCGTGGCACCTGAATCAGCGACAGCAGCAGCAGCAGCCCCTCCTCTCGCAGCAGCCACAGCAGCAGCAACAGGTTTCGGGGCAAGGGTCAGGTGAGCGTCAGCTGCAGCGCGGTGTCGTCCACCCTCCCTGCATCTATCACGTTCTGACAGGTGCCCGCCGCG